TAGATCAGGCGAAGATCTTCCAGGCTGTACTCGGCCGGGTTGGGGGTGAGGAGATGGCGAGTTTGGGGAAAGGAAAGATTCCGGTGCGCTGCCACTGCTCAATGTCGGCAACGATGCTGGGCGTCCACATGAGATCCCGGCTTGTCAGGGGTCGTCGACCGGTCTTCCATGGCGGGCATGTCATTGTAGGGGCAGCGGATCTTGTGCTTGGTGCAGTTTCGGCTGAGAACCCCGTGTTAGTCAAGGCCCGTAGTGTTTCTGCGCGCCAGCAATGTTCACGTACCATTGAGGGAAGTTTTCATCACATCGAATATGCCGACGCTTGCAGGTCTCGCAGCCCTTGCGCGACTTGGTGTGGCTGCGACGGGGAGGACCGCCTCCGGGACCAGCCATTTTTCGAGAGTGGTGAGGAGTGTGTTGGGCGAGGAACCTGCAGGGCGTGTTAGTGCAACGCTGGCACATTTGTCCTGGCGCAGAATCTTACGTGGTGAATAGGTAGGTATACACGGACAGATGAGCCGCGTGTATGATTCGGGGTAGCGAGCGTGGTGGGGGAGGGTCGAGACGGGAACGTGCGGACGGTTGCGTTGTTCCTGAGTTTGATACTGAAAGCGATTGTTGGTTGGAGTGGGCGGTTTTCCCTTTTCCCTTCTTCTTTTTCTGTTCCTTTTTTGTCTGAGACGGTTTGGAAAGCGAGCGTGGTTGTTGACTTGGGGACTTCAAGTATCGAGCCGAGACATCTGCTACAGGGCAGTGAACCAAGTGCAAGATGGCTTGGCTGCGGTTCCGATACGAAGAGTTGGGAGTTTTGGTGATGAGGCCGGGGATGGTTGATGTCGCGGGAGTAAGCTTCGTTTTCCGGGATTCGACTCGAACAACAAAAGAACAAAAGAACAACGAACGCAAAAGCGAATGACAGGAGTCAACGAGGACTTCCTAAAGGTGGGAGGAGGGGGGGCGGTTAGCGAATGTGGGTGGTGAGCGAGAGTGCGCAACGAGGCTGGTGATGTCTTGCTGGATGTGATATTGGGGGGAGACAAAAAGACGGACGTCCAGGCTGGGGGAAGGGCCAACTAGTTAAATACAGAGGGGTCATAAGGCGACTGGCAGCACAAGAGTGACCCGAACGGGACGAGAGGACCGGCCGGGGCGGGCACATTTTGGCTTCACCCATTAGGGTGGGAGGAGTGGGCAGGGGCAAAAAGCAACGAGGACAGGAAAAGAACAGGCCGGCTGTGCTGTGCCAGCGAGTGCGCCAACGAAAGGCCGGCCCGAACAAGCCCCAGAAAGGGTGGGAGTGGGAAACCAAGACCAAGCCCAAGCCCAGGTTCACGCCCCAGAGCCCCAGCACAGGGCAGGCCGGGGGGTGTTGCGACAGGAAGGGCAACACCAGCATCAGCGTGCCACCACGCATGAGGGACCCGTGTGCCCATGCTTTGACCATGCGAGCCCCCAGCCAAGCTCGAGTGGAGGGGGTTGAGGGGAGAGGGCCGTCCGCGCCGCCGCCGTCCACGCCGTTGAGTGTGCCAGCCGATGACTTTGTGCCATGCGCACTAGAGCCAAAGCTGACAGCCAGATGGGCACAGGGAAGGTAAGGCAAGGCGAGGTAAGGCAGGGTCAGTAGTCAGGCAAAGCCAGCTCTGCCCAGTGGGGCCTCTAGGCAGCCAGCTTTGCCAGGCAAGCCAGGACAGGGTGTCATCGAAGTTGTGAGTCGGTGGACGATAGGTGGGCCGTCTGTTGAGCAGGGATCCACGGTAGTTCCTGGGACAAGGGGGGGAGGGGGTTTGTGTTCTCTCTCTCTGTCGACCTCAGGTGTGTGTAGAAGGGGAAAGGTGAAAAGCGCATTGTACATGGTACTGCACATGTACGTAACGCCCAAGCGTTGAGCTGCAGACCCATGTGTAAATAAGAGGCCGTGAACCGTGTGAATTCTTGCGGATACTCCTGTCCTCTTGTCACCAAGGACTGTGGACTCACCAACCATCGATCGGGCCTCCTGCTTCAGGCTCACGGCCAATGTGAAGCTGTGAGCAGGCGAAAGGGCGCGGAAAGGGAGGGTTGCAGTCGTACCGACTACGTTCATCCATGTCCTTGGGATATACCAACGAGCGGCAGGCGGCAAAATGTCCATGTTCTTCCGTCGGCTGGCAATGGCTCGCCAGGAAGCTATCCGTCGTCATGGTTTTGCGGCACCATGACCTGGGTCATCGTCATCAAGGGAGCGAGCTGTGTTACTCGATTGAAAACGAGGAGAGCGACATGCTGATGAGAGTGCGCAGACATCTTGCCGTCGACAGAACCCTGCCGGTCGCGTTCACTTGGAGCATGATGGCCACGACTGGGTGGCTCTACGTCATAGCCTTGGAGGCCTTTGCTCGAGAGACTGCGACTGTATGTTGCTCCATCAGTCTCACAAGCGCTTCAATGAAACAGTACGCCCCTTTGGAGTTGACCCGAGTCTCTTGTTGATCCTCTCCTGTCAAGTGCCAGGAAACCAAGATGTAGAAACAATAGCATCATGCTAAGATCGTGGAGTACGACGGGCGTGGCTGAAAAGGGGGGGCGGGCGTGCGCGGTCATGATTTTAGTGCGCTGTCGACGTCGTGGTCCATGAGAACCATTCTGTGCGTCGGCCGTCCACCACATATTCGTCTGTGACAGAAATGTATCAGCATGGGGACAAGTCAGCGAGCCAGAGAAACCTCAACTCACACACACTGGTGCGGTTGCAACCATCTCTCCCAGTGGCCGCATGACCTGACCTCACTGAAGTCAAACTTTCACAGGTGCTTTGTCCCTATCAAGGTAGCGCACACGCCTCACCGTCGGACCACATCCATCCCCATCTCTCCACACCACACCAAGGGACCGATTGAACCTTACCACGGCCGACCACGCCGAATCAGGCCTACGCTCAGCTATGTTGCTAAAAACTCACTCACTGCAGGCCGGCCTTGTCGAGGTATCCGTCTTCGTTCTCGCGCACCTACACCGCGGCTTGACCGAGCTAGCACCATCAGAGCCGCATTACCTCCGCATGAGACTGAGGAGCCTATGCGGGTCTGCTTCCCAACATCGAGAAATGCGGATCGGGCACTGTGGCGGCGTTGTCTGCCATAGCTAGGCCCGCCCAGGGTCGGTCGGCGTGCTGCCAGGCCCCGACCAAACCCATCGTGCTTGCAGGGTGCCGGTCAGTCCCAGTCACCCACCACATTGTACTGTGGGCAATAGATGTATGAAGACCGGCTGATGGGGTGCCGGCAGAACAGCGTATGACATGCCAGGCCAGCAGCTTCAACCAGCTGGGCAATGAGACAACAGATGAACGATTCCGAGGTCGCACAGCAAGCCTTACACCAGGGTTTGAAGCTCCAATCACTGACTGGGAGAGATCCTCGTCAGCGAAGAATCGTCCTCGATTCACACCAGGCCAGCAAACCCAGCCCTGAGCACGGACATCACCAGACGCCCTCAAGGCATGCAGTCAAATCCCGGACGGCTTGGTGGCTGGTAAAGGTATCCTAGGTTGAACATCAGGTCAAGCTGGCCTTCGGCTTCGCGGAATAGCGGAAAGCATGCGCTGTTTTGGCGATTCACAACTTGATTGGCAGATGTGGAATTCTTGCGTGCAGTGACCGCGGCGCCACGGCAGGGTTTACCAAGCGGTTTTTTTCAACAGGTCGAACCCAGTGACGTACTGTGGATGGTGGTCAGGCAGTCTGGCATGATGTCCCCCACGCTATAACGCCTACCTTCTTCGCCTCTTTGACAGAATGGAAGATCGTGGGCCAACGAATATGTTCGTCTCAACTTCTGTGGTCTTGCCGGCCTCGAGGCTTGAAAATGTTCAGTCAGACACCCGATACCTCGCGGACTGGCTGCTTAGGGGGTTGTGTCATGCGAGGCCGCTCACCGCAGGCTCTTGGCCGACCTGGCGTCGCTGGGTCGTGTGAATCGAAGAAGCTCTTTGAACTTGATACGACGGCGAACCCTCTCTTTCTCGACTCAACGGAATGGTCCATGGGGTCAGAGGAGGTCGGGACGTCCTGGATGACTGTCTGCATAGTGAGGATCCACCGACTTGCCATCCGAGTTCTTCGGTCTGATTGAACAATGTGCTTCATTGGGAATCCTCCTTGTTGATTTACGTCGCTTCAACGAACCCGCAGCCCCCTGCTTCTCATCTGTGCGAACCCCTCAGGGATACCATCAAGACCGCACCCCGACCAAAAACCCCTGGATCTGGAGACATCCCCTGTTCAGTGGACTCCAATGCTAGGGACCGGGTAGATCGGGGTCTACAGGGCTGCTGCTGCATCTGGTTGGCTGAAACAACGGTTTCTCGTGTCCGAATTTGGCAACTCATGTCCATGTGGCTATCTTCGCCTGTCCTGTCAAGGAATGACGAAGGTCCCATCAGTGCGGTTTGAGAAGTATGCCAAGCATTGTGCCGGAGTCGAGACGACAAAGTCACCAGTCAACATTCATCAGTACACTCGAGGTGTGAGTTCGCTCATTCTTAGCCAGTGAGATCAGACCAGCCACAAGCTCTTTGCTGTTCCTTGCTCGCTGAAGCGCACCCTCAACAGATGATCTAGGCTCCATAGCCATAGACAGGGTCCTCAGGGTATTGCCAGACGACTATTCTATGTCAAGTGGTCGCTTCGCAGCAGATTTGGGCTGAGATCTGCTCCATATTCGGAGTTGCAATCACAGGTTACGTTGTTCAGCTCCAAATGAGGCTTCAGCGACTTTGAATCGCCTACGTGGTGACTGCATCGGCCTGAGCGTAATCTCAAGTGTCGGGATGAACACACGGAGGCTCGCTTTCTCGGTCTCTGTTGCTGAGCGCACCTCCCGAACAAAGATGACAGGCTCTCGTCTTTACTCTGGTTTGCGAACTTTGATCGTCCTTTCGATCACACGGGGGAGTAAATGTTTCTCTGGTTTCCAGTGCTCAGATTCTTCGTTCGGGTATTGGGTGGGAACGGTGGCGCCAGGCCCAAGAGGGCGTAGTCCGTTTCTATTTTTGATCAGCCCTTTTCCCGTGTGACCCCAACATCAATCGATTATCTCTGCTTTCGCTTTGGTGCTGAACGGTCGTTCCGCCAACAGCTGTTGTATTCTTGTGTATGCCTACCGCGCTCTGTCGACGCCTAGTTGGTGACTATGCGCACGTGGCCTCATTGAACTTTTGACATTTACTGCCTTCGCGCGAGTCGTGGATGCAAAGGCAACGTTCCATAATGATCGACTGAGCTGCAACTGGGTGACTTTGCCGTACCAACCAATGTACCCGCTCCATAGAGTAGCGTGGCGTGGCTCGAGGTCAGGGCTGTCCCGACCTGCGGAATGGATGGATGCGTGGAGTTCCGCTTGGCGCACATCAGATCAATGGTAGACTTGGTGCGAGAGGTGATGCGGGCGAAAGGCGTGAGCAATCTTTTGAGACGGTTCATCAGGCGTAGTATGTGTGTGTGTGTGTGTGTGTGGATTTCGGTTGTGGCTGTGGAGAGATCCCTCGATGTGCTTGCTCCCAGAGAGTAACGTCGATGATTGGG